ATCAAATGATTCGCGATACGCGATTTGAAGTCCCGATCTAAATCAAATGATTCGCGATACGCGATTCGAAGTCCCGATCTAAATCAAATGATTCGCAATACGCGATTCGAAGTCCCGATCTAAATCAAATGATTCGCTATACGCGATTCGAAATCCCGATCTAAATCAAATGATTCGCTAAACGCGATTTGAAGTCCCGATCTAAATCAAATGATTCGCTAAATGCGATTTGAAGTCCCGATCTAAATCAAATGATTTGCGATACGCGATTCGAAGTCCCGATCTAAATCAAATGATTTGCGATACGCGATTCGAAGTCCCGATCTAAATCAAATGATTCGCGATACGCGATTCGAAGTCCCGATCTAAATCAAATGATTTGCGATACGCGATTCGAAGTCCCGATCTAAATCAAATGATTCGCGATACGTGATTTAAAGTCCTGATCTAAATCAAATGATTCGCGATACGCGATTTGAAGTCCTGATCTAAATGAAATGATTCGCGATACGCGATTTAAAGTCCAGATCTAAATCAAATGATTCGTGATACGCGATCCGATTGAGCATTTCTAAGTGAATCATTTTGCGACGCAATTGTTTAACTGATTCAGAGTTTCACCCATCACTATAAGTGCTTTTTATAATCATTACAAGTGTTGTCGAAATTCAAGAAAGAATGGCTCTTTTGATCTGGGCTGCGTTTCTGAAGCCTACTTAACGCTACGTTGTTCTTAAGTTGTACCTTAACCCAGTGGCGAGGCTACATAAGAGCCAGGGTGGCACTGGCCCACTCAGATTGTCGGCTGGTCCACTAAATATATTCATGTCGTCTGCGATATCATAATTGTTGTTTTAACGATGTGCGATTTGACGTCATCGACTAGGCCTTTATCACAAAAACCTAACAACACATCTACCGAGTGCACGCATATATTACGTAATGAAGTCTAGTAGGTCAGACTAATGCACGAACGCGTTCTTTCACTGCATGATTCAGTCTATTAAAGTGCATTAAGAATGATAACCAAATTCAAGATATGGGCGCAGAAAATGTATATATTTATATCATTTCATATAGTTAATCAATATCCCACGAAGAGTGCCGTTTTTTTCCTCCAAAATCAGCATGATTACAGATGTGATATTGATTTTTACAGCAGTTCAATAAACAATAAATTAATCAAGAGACTTACGTTTTAGACAGCATGTTGCCTGTTGTTGCTCAATTTCAACAACAAAAGTAATTCCAAACACAGCCACAGCACTCACTCACACAGCACAGTTTCGTGTCTCTGAGCAACATGACGGTGTTTCGTTCCTGAATGAATCAACCGTTTACATGATTCGGTTCAGTCGCAATGACTCACTTATTAACAGTGACTTGCTGCCACCTACTGGTGGTTTTGATTTCACATTTAAAGTATCTTTTCTTTTTTTAAATAATTTCAGACATCAGTTTTCAACGTTGTGTTTTTAAAATATCAAAACATTATTTATGCATTTTTAATTGCAGGTTAAAGTATTCCATGTCCCTCAGAGCTGCATTAAACAGTGGGTAAATACATTTAAATGCCACTTCAGATGCATCTTCTGTGTTTCCTCTGCATTGCAAAGATGAATTTTGTCAATACTGATTTAATTTGCTTGGTAACAGCCCAAATGTCTTATTATTCTCATTTACTGATTAAATGTAAAAATTTGACTCAAAAGGTGATGCACACTTTTCTAGAAAAAAAAATGCCCATAAAAGGTAAAAAATCAATTTAAACTTATTGGAAAAGATTAATCTCTATCACTGCTCTGAACTGATCACCACAAAGAATGAAGAATATCAAAAACTTTAGAAGTCAGCTGTCCACAGTAGTCCTTAAGATACCAGCACAATAACACACTCAGCAAAATATTGTGTAATTATCGTTAAAGATAAAAAAAATTATTGACAAAAAAAAATCATTTTTGTCAATATTGCACACCACTAGTAAAGAATAAGTAATAAGACCCCAGTGGATCAGAATCGATCTTCCAGTTGTGCGCTTATGTTCTATGGCAAATGGTAAATGCAAGGGCTTTCAATCTACAATGTTTGGTGAAGCTACAAACCAAAACACAGGCCAAAAGTCATATGTATAGCCTATACTGTTCACATATATTTGGTATTGTTTGATGTCCTGAAACAATTATGCTAGTTCAGACCTTTTCAACAGTATATGACCAGTATGTCTGTTATATAACATCACATTTTCAATGTAAAGTCATATTTTTATTTTCAGTTTAGGCATATATTTTCAGCTCATATTTTTGGCATTTTTCTTTTTCAGCCAAAAGCCAAAGGCACTGAGGTCCACCCTATTTCACCAGGGTCCACTCACTTGAAAATTTCTGGCCTCGCCAACCTGTACCTTATCGTTAATACGTGCTTTCCCGAAACATTCTTAGTTAAGTATACCTTCTGTAAGTCATACTTTCGTAAGGTTGGTCTGGACCACTCTTAGCTATACCTTATCACTTTTGACAATTCACAGTTCTTTACATCTCAGTCTATATGAATATTTTTCGTATAGTTGTGCAAAATCAAAGACGGCGCTGTCCTCGGAGCCATATAGTGTACTAAAACTTACAGTAATTAAAAATATAATTACAAAAAAATACATAAATTTTTTCTTTAAATGCCGGCACGGCAGCAAATTCAGCAGCTTTTAGAGCTTGTTGGTCCGGTTTTGTTGAGACAAATTCAGCTGCTGGCAGCTCTCCTCTTTCTCTCTTTTTCTCCCTAGTAGCTGTTGACTATATGTTTCTCCTGTTGCGTTTTTATTGAGTAGGTCATCCAATAACAGAAATGAGTGATTTACACCAATATGTGATGCGGCTGCTGTGCAACCAACCCTGGGTACTCAACCCCAAAAACAATTTTAAACAAGAAAAGCAAAGTTGGCACACCACAGCTCCAACAGTAGAAATATTTATTTATGCTCTCACCACAGGTGACGTATCGAGGCTAAAAGCTCTTCATCAGACAAATATTTTCTACTTTTGGAGCTGTGGTGTGCCAACTTTGCTTTTCTTGTTTGGAATAATGCTAAATGCAAAAATACTATACGTTATAGTGCCATCATCCAAATTTGCCAACCTTAATTGAATGCGAACAGATTTTGTATAAAATACAGTGGCACCTTTCATTGCACAAATCATTACAGCATGTGTCAAGTGCGCTCAGCATGTTGCACTAGATCAAACATTGATATACTATCTCATGCACATCAGTTGCAACCATTCACTTGTTGATCGGTGATGTTATGCGAATGGCTCAGTCGCGCGCAGATGTAGGCAGCGGCGTGCTGACGTAATCAGGGTTTATTAGCGCCGCTCGGATCCGCTCGCGCCAGTCAGTCTCTCCGCTCTCGCGCTCCTCATGCATTAAACCAGATCCAGGACTCATGTCCAGGAATCCAGACTGGAGTAAAGGATTCACCTGAAGAAGAACACGCAAGCGGTCAGCTGAAGAAACTCTCTCCGTCTCTTGTTTTCCCTCCATGTGAAGGAAAAGGTACGACAACCGATTGCTTTTTCCGATTATGAACTCAAATTAGATGCTGCATTTGAACTGCACGTTTTGAGAGCTTGTGCGCAAACAAAATGCGTTATTTTGGTAATTTTTCCCGAAGCGAAGCTGGTTTCAGCACCACGGAGAGCGTGATGCGCAAACACCGCATTCAAGATTTTCTAAGTTTGATCTTTTTTTTTTAAATATAATTTAGCATTTTCATTTAATGTCTTATTTTAAGTGCGATAAAGCCTTCTGTCCACTATTCCTATTCGATCTATTTCTATTCAATCGAGCGCAAAGACAGAGATTGTGTGGTCTCGAAGTAGAAGATGGATTTGTTGTCGTCTAGCCAACATAATTATGATTTAAAACAGAATGTAAAAAAAATAAAAATAAGACCATGACTTAATATGGTTTTACATGTTATTTTTCATTCAGGAAATTAACGATTTTTGCCGATTATATACTTAACTAAGAGTTTACCACTTTTAAAATTATGTTTAAGCTCAAAATGCATGCTTTATTCCACCTTGTTCTTGCCAAAACAACATTTTGAGATTCAGCACCACGGACAGCTGCAAGTGGCATTCAATGGCCAACTATCAACGAGACTTATTCATGCAAATTATATTTGTATCTTTTTCTGTTTCGTTCAGCAAATTAACACTTTTTGCTGATTACATACTGAAATAAGAGTTTAGAGTTTTTAAAATTTGTTTATTTTCAAATAAAATGCTTAATTCAATCTTGTTCTTGTCAAAAAGCAATGTTTTTAGATTCAGCACCATGGACGGCTCCAACTGGCTTTCAATGCCCAAATGAGATTTCTTCAGTCAAATCATATAATAAAACTTCTTAACATGGTTTTATGTCTTAAGTTGCGTGCAATATCCATCCAAAAGACTTCTGTCGTCTTCTGTTTCGATTGTGCAGTCTTCCAGCTGAAACGGGAACTTCAAATTTGAACTTTTAAAAGACGTTTATGCGCAAACAAACGTTTTGTGATTATTTTCTTCATGCAAATGATATAATCAAACTTACTATTTTGAATGCTAAGTCTCTACATGTCATTTATAGATTTGTGTAATTTGTTTTTCTGATCTGACATCATTGTTTTGTGTCCAGGCTGAGCGATGAACGAGAGTGCAGCGCTCAACGAGAGTGGCGTGGGTTCACCAGAGTCCTCATGGCTGGAAGCCGAAGCCTTTGATGTCAACCGGACTCTGGCGCTCTCATCGGCAGCCCTCGAGTTCCACGTCAACCCATGGGACATCATGCTGTGCCTGTCCGGGACGGTGATCGCCTGCGAGAACGCCATCGTGGTGGCCATCATCTTCTACACACCGACGCTTCGCAACCCGATGTTCGTCCTGATTGGCAGCCTGGCCACCGCTGACCTACTGGCTGGCATAGGATTAATCCTGAACTTCGCTTTCCAGTATCTGGTCTCATCTGAGACCATCAGCCTTATTACAGTTGGATTCCTGGTGGCGTCCTTCACAGCGTCCATCAGTAGCTTGCTAGCTATTACGGTTGACCGCTACCTGTCACTATACAACGCCTTGACGTACTTCTCAGAGAAGACGCTGCATTATGTGCATCTGATGCTGGTGGGAACATGGGGTGTGTCGCTGGGATTGGGACTGCTGCCTGTTTTGGGCTGGAACTGCTTGGATGATGCATCCACCTGCAGCATTGTGCGTCCGCTCAATCGTACCAACCTCACCCTCCTCGCCACGTCGTTTTTCGTCATCTTCGCCCTCATGCTCAGCCTGTACTTCAAGATCTGCAAGATAGTGTGTCGTCATGCGCACCAGATCGCGCTGCAGCAGCATTTCTTCACCACCTCGCACTATGTGGCCACCAAGAAGGGCGTCTCCACGCTCGCCATCATTCTGGGCACGTTTGGCGCCAGCTGGCTGCCCTTCGCCATTTACTGTCTGGTCGGGGAGCGTGATTATCCACCGGTGTACACATACGCCACGCTACTTCCCGCTACTTACAACTCCATGATCAACCCCATCATCTACGCCTACCGCAACACCGAGATCCAGCGCTCCATCTACATGCTCTTCTGCGGCTGCTTTCAGACCAACGGCTCGTACAGATCCAGATCGCCCAGCGAGGTTTAGATCCTCTGTGCTTTTTTTTTTTAACCCTGTAAAGCCTGACATATGCAATAATAGTCTAGTGTTTGGAAATGGAACAGTTTATTGGACAATAGTGTTTTTTGGTCACGGGTTCAAATCCCGGACGAGCCCCCAATTGGTAAAGATGTGGCTATAAATTATGGCTCACATAGTGAGAATGTAGAGGAAAAATTGCTAAATATTATTCTAATCTGAGCAAAGATATCCTAGTCGTAATGTAAATCATTGAGATCTTTATAACTGTATAACAGATGACTATCATAAAATGATCTAAATATCAGTGGTCACTCTATATCTCCAATAACATGACTTAGTAAGATGAGATTGAAATGATCCAAACATATAATGCAATGCAATCCAATGATGATTGAGAGATGAAGAAATAAACGCTCCTCAGAAGATGCTAGATGTTTTGGAGGCTTGGGAAGATCATTCCTCCACTGAGGAACAGTGAAAGTAAAGCTTCTGGAAACAAACGTTCCTCAGAAGATCCTGATGATCAGATTTGAGACGCACTGATTTTTCTAAAAATGATTGATGGAGAATCAAGTAAAGCTGAGCTGCTTCAGTCCAGTAAGTGTTCATCTGGAAATATGAGTACAGTTATTCTGACGTAAAAAAATCAGTCAAGGTTTGGACACGTGAAGCACCAGCTGAAGCTGGACATTGGTACAATTACACTACTTTTACTGGATAAAACTATCTAAACTATCAATAAGACGACAGAAGGCATTGTCTTTTGCTCATGCTGGTCACTGAAGTCTTATAAATTTGCGTATCAGTAGGCTTTATAGGGTTAAAATCTCGTTCATGTCACCTGTACGTGCAGAAGTATGAATATGGCACTCAAAGTGTCTGTTGAGCATTTGCACTTTACTGAGACCCGGGTGTCTTGACATGCTGTGAACAAGCAACAACTCGTATCAAGAATGTATATTTATATTATTTATAAGTGACATGTTGCACTTTACTGTACAAATCTAGATGCCAAAGCAGTATTGCATAGGCCTACGTGTTTGATGAGTTACTTAACTCATGTGATGGGTTTTATATTTTGTAAAGTTGTTCATGACTGTACATTTTATACAAAACAATGAACACAAAATAAAACATGAAAAGCTCAAGTAAAATGAACTGTTTTTCATTGCTGAAAGTGTGTTTGTACGCGTGAGTGTGTATGAGGAAATGAAGGAATAATACAAGAGCTGAAACTGTTGAGATTGATATTGTGGCTATTTAAAGGGACAGTACACCAAAAATGTATCCTCTGTAGTGAATGGGTGCCGTCAGAATGAGAGTCCAAACAGCTGATAAAAACATCACAATAATCCACAAGTAATCCACACCACTCCAGTCCATCAGTTATCACCTTGAGAAGCTAAAATAAATAAATCCATCAAGATGTTTTTTACTTTAAACCGTTGCTTTCAGCTAAAATAGTCCTCTATCCATAATATTGCTTCCTTCAGAGAAAAAGTCCATCTCCTGTTGTCTCTCACATCAAAATCCAGCCACATATTTGTTTAGAGCTGTTTTGGACTGTTTTGGCTTATAAACGCTGCTTGATCTGTGCAGATTTCTCTCCTGATTCAGACCAGAACACTTTTTCACTGGAGGAAGCGTTATTATGGATTATGGATGCATAGTAGTTAAAAACATCTTAATGATGGATTGGAGTGCTGTGGATTACTTGTGGATTATTGTGATGTTTTTATCAGCTGTTTGGACTCTCATTCTGACGGCACCCATTCACTGCAGAGCATCCATTGCTGAGCCACTGATGCAATGCTACATTTCTCCAAATCTGATGAAGAAACAAACTCATCCTAATCTTGGATGGCCTGAGAGTGAGCATACTTTCAGCAAATGTTTATTTTTGGGTGAACTGTTGCTGTAATTAAAATCCTAGATTGAAAGTATATTTCCTTTTTCCTCAACAACTATTGCTTTTATTGAAGAACATGCAGTTTCACAAACCACAAAATCTAGTGTGGTTATTTAATATACATATATTGACACTCCCAGTTTCTGTTAATACTATATTATAGTTAATATATACATATATGTATTAGGGACCTATGGATATTGTGTTGGATGGTGAAGGGTTTTTGAGTCATATAAGTTGAGAACCACTATTTAACTATATTTATATAGAGCAGTGAAATTATGCACAAAATCTGTAGAAATTCTTTAAATTGGCCAGAAACGTGAAGTCATACTCATCTGAAGACACTGAGAATCTCTTGGTTTGTGTCGTCACTGTTACTCTGAGCACCTGCTGTTTCCGCTGATTAATGAAGCCCGTCTGACAGTCATGAATATTTCCTCCTTCAGCGCTAATTAAGTTCAAGAGTGGACGAGACGCGTCTGTGCTCATACAGATTCATTAATTCAGTTCCATCATCAGTGAAGCAGGTGGAGCAGGAACATCTCAGCACTGCTAATTACATCCTTCCTTCAGGTTTTTAAGGTTCCTCTAAGTTCACTGTATCCAGACTAATGGAATTAGAAGTGCTCTAGCCATGCTGTATTGCTGGGTCAATTTGATCCACATTAATTGCTTCAAAATTGGTTCTGCTATTTGGTGAATTGGTCCGCTATTTCTTCTCATTTAGGGTCATGAACGTGCATGCAAGTTTATATTTGTTTGGGATAGGCGGTACACATTTTTTTACTTTTGACCCCCGTTATCAACACTAAAATCAGAAAACCTTTATTGTAACTTGTCAAAGACTAATATATGAAATACATGATAACTTACAAAATGTAAGACTTGAAATTGAGACTCAACTAATGAATCCAATATTGCAAATATTTCATTATTGTAGTAGATTTTTTTAGTGTTCGATTCTCATTTGAAGACATTTGAAGCAATAGATGTTATTTTGTATTAATACTTCAGATTTTAGAGACTGTGTTTTTGTTATGTCAGTGTTGTCATGACTTTGTTGCCCACAGGTCCAGCTTGATCGGTCACGTGACTTTCAGAGCTCAGATGATTGGCTCAAAACTATGAAAAAGATTGTGTCCAAGTTTCAGAGAGGTAAGAAAAAGGCCTTAAGTGCACTAAATGAATGCACTGGAAGATCCAGTTATGACATTTTTATAAAAAATTACTGGGTTAAAAAAACAACAACAACAACAAAATGGTTAAACGTTAAATGCACAAAAATATTTAGATTAAAAATGACGGGCAAAAAAACAAACAAACAATAATAATAAAATAAAAAACTTAAACGTTAAATACTCTGAAAACTCCCGTTATGAGATTTTGTTTAAAATATACCACGTCAAAAAAAATAATAAAATAAAAATGAATAATAATAATAATAAAAAAACTAAAAGTACAAAACGTTTCTTCTGTGATTTATTTCTGAGTGAAACTTGATATTGATGAGACTTGATATTCTCCTGGTTTCAGTCTTTCTACTTTACTGTTATTTGCCATTTCTTTGTTATTATTTGTGAAATATACTCCCAATTTCAGACTGAAAATATTTTCAAAGTAAATCTTCTTCCGTTTTTCTCCTGGTATCCTGATGGTAAGTCGATTCTGATGTCATTTTGACTCTCTTGCCCTTGCGTTGACATTAATAGACAGTCATCGACACAAGACAGACTATATTTAAACATGCAGTTTCTGAATCATAATTAGTCTAGTCATGGAAAATTACATGATGGTCTTGTAAGAAAGGCTTTTTGTGATGTTTGTGACTGAAATAGACGCTGAGCTTTTGGTCTGTGTTGTGTTTTTGATATAAAACCTTAAAGCAGAGCCTCTAGTAGGGTCCAGACTGAGGTGACTGTGTGTTATCTGTCTGTGTTTGAACAGCCACTCAGTGATCCTCCTCCGGCGCTCTGAGCTTCACAGGTTGAGTCACAGTGTTAATCTGATGGATGTGGGTGCAGCAGACGGGCTTCATCACCGTCTGTGGGATGCTGGCCGCTCGATGACGTGCCGTCCTCAAGAGTTTGGAGCTGGATGGAGTAAGTGAACCAGGTGTTTTCTCATGTTCCTGTAGTTCAGACAGGAGGTCATGGGTTCGATTCCCAGGGAATGCATTAACCGCTACACCTTCAATTCAATGCAAGTCTCTTTGGATAGAAGCATGTGCAAAATGCACCAGTGTTAAATGTAATGTCACATGCACAGAAAAACAAAACTAGCAAGCAAACAAACAAACACTGGTATAGAAATTTCACAAATGATTACCAAGAAATGGCAAGTAGCACATCGAATTAACCCTGAAATTTTGAAGTCGAAAAACTGAAATAGTATTTCTTGTAAAATGTAATGTAAAATATTTTCTTACAGTGTATATGTCAGCAACTTTAGCATAGCTTTGCAGCAAAATACAGATTTAAATTAAAAACAAAATTTCTAGTGTGCATGAATGCTGAAAATATCTCATAATGATTAATTTATAAGTCAACAATAACTCAACAATATTGAACTTTCTTTTACAGTTTTATTAACTAGCTTTAGAACAAACGCATGAGCATTTTGGTTCATGTCAAGTCAAGTCAAGTCAAGTCACCTTTATTTATATAGCGCTTTTAACAATACAGATTGTGACAAAGCAACTGAACAGCATTAATTAGGAAAATAGTGTCAATAATGCAAAATGACAATAGTAAACACTCATTTTTCAGTTAAAGACAGTTCATCATTGAATTCAGTGATGTCAACATCCAGCTCAGTTCAGTTTAAATAATATCTTTGCAATCAAGTCAACGATATCGCTGGAAATGAAGGGGCCCCAACTAAGCAAGCCAGAGGCGACAGCGGCAAGGTTTTTCTAAAATTTCATGTAACTGGGCGTGCACATTTTTAAATGTATTTTATATATCTGATAAATAAATAAGTAAATAAAAGAAAATATTTTCCATAAAGAAAGTAGTTTTTTATATAATTTAAATAAGATTTTTGACTTTAAAAAATATATATATAATCATTTTAGGCCTCAATTTATTTGGGGGTG